TAGAGGGAATTGGTTTCAAAGGCTCTCTGTTTAACACAGACAAAGACCTTTAAGTCCGCATACTGAAGCTGTTCTTAAAACCCTGGCTTAGCTGCAGAGTGAAAGAGCTAAACCCTATGAGGAAACAGTAATGACCTTTGGTGGTCTACAGTTTGCTTTGCCCAAGGATGTTTAACTTCTTGATACAGTCAGCCACTTTGGACATTTCACAGTTTGGCAAGTTATTTCCCTTGTTCTTATGAACACTGTTGATATTTAATACTTAGCTATCAGTTAAGTCAATCTTTATTTCCCTGTATTTTTTTTCAGTTCTTTCTATAGTTCTAATGATTGACTGTAAATTTACATTGCACAGAATGACTGATTACATATTTTTAGCCAGAAAATCTTAGCTCTTTGCTTTTTGAAAGGAAACTTATTAGGGGTTTCTTTTTGATTAGGACCATGATGTTGTTCATCAAACCTCTTGTCATTTAGTAGTCTCTCTACAATCTCAATTAAAAATGTTTTACTTAATGTTTACATAAAGTTTACATTACCTAACACAAAATGTATGATTTCCAGTCAGCATACAGTTCTGTAGCTGTGGGAAGCACTGCTGTAGCTCATAGGAGCTACAGTTCAGATGTTCATAAGCTCCTACTCCATGGATAGAAGAGTCTTTGGACTATCTTTATCATGAGAAGTCACAGCTTTCCCACAGGATGAGGCATCACATGAAATCATAGGATATCTGTGAGCTTGGTAATATGGAAGCTTTTCAACCTTTTGGTATTACCAGTAGCTTTCCAAGTATTTCTCTACACTGTTGGCATCAGAGTAACAACAACAGACGCTGACTAGTAAAGAGTGTTTTAGGCTGATTGGCAAAACATCAGCAACCATAACCCTACTGAGCAGCACCTCCTCCTTCTCTTTCAATGCATAGGGACTATCCCCGAGTATAGATACATCTGACTCATAATCAGACATTGTATTTAATGCATAAAAATTACTTACCAGGACTCTGTTAGTGAAGGTTATAAAACCAAGCTGGCTTGCTGTGGTCTGAGGGAAAGAAAAAATCACCTCCCTATGCGGTGACTTACTCATCTGATAAAAATGAGATAACTTCACAGATCTACCTCACAGGCACTGTGTGAGACTTCAGTAACATTTGTGAAACTATACAGTGATCTCTCAGCAAGAAATGTTCTAACAGCATAAATGTCAAAGATTGCTTTCAAATCAGGCAGGTTTGGGAGGGAGCAAAAAGCATGGACCAGACTGACATGGATGGTGCTCTAGCTCTTTCCACCATGATGCCTCTCTTATTGTTAATCTCTTTTATGGCCTGTTTTGATGTGTTAACATTGCCGAGTACTCTTCCCCCCCCCCAATTTCATGTGTCCCCCTCAGCCCTGCTCACATATTTCCCTCACAAACTGCCTATGAATTGCTTTGGCAGCAAGACAGTAAAGTGAGAAGTACTCTTAGAATATGGCTTATGGTTCACTGGGCATCAGCAAACACTGTCAAAGCTGATAACCTTCAGCTGGGAAGGTAACAGGAGTTTCATTCATGCAGTCATTAACCTATGGTACTGCAGGTGTTACAGGTTTACAGAGTGGAGCTGGGCTAACAGCATGCTTAGCTCAGCAGAGAGAGAACAGGCCACTGCCATGGAATTGTATTCAGAAAGGTGACCACTGGCCATGAAATTCAAGTATCCACATAACTCATATCACACACTCAGGAAAACAATCACCTTTTGAAGCAGGTCGGTCAGTGTGGGACTGGAAGAGCTGTGGTTATCCAGATACACGCACTCTGTCGTGATGGGTAAGACATGAGGCTCGACAGGAGACGGAAGGATAACTGCACAGACAACCATCACTGCTGTCTCTTGCTGCTCTTTCTGCACAATGCAATAGAATTAACTAGACTGACCTCAGAAGTTCAATACTCTGCTTGTGCCTTGAACTTAAATACATAAAAAGGCACTGTTATATCTTTAGGTGCTTTCCCTAAATATTCATTGTTTTTCAAAAGGCATTAAATATCTACCTCCTTCAGCATGTGGCTAAATCTTATTAAACCCCATTGAGTTCAGGCATATGCTTAAATGATTTAGTAACTTAGATTCTTAAATGAAAAAAACACCACCTTTTTTGTTCTGCTTCTTTATCTGTACCTCTGTGTAAGCTGTATGTGGTAAAAGAACAGCCACCCCATAAATAGAAATGGCAAAAGGAACTAAAATTACTTTAAGGTGAACAGATTGATCTAATACTACATTTGTTTAGAACTTTCTGATGATACCAGATGCTGCTGCTGAGTAGTAGGTCTATTCCAGGAAGGCATAAATCTGCTATGCAAAAATAAGTGCACAGTTACAGTGACACATCCTTTGACAGTTTCCTGCTGGGAGTCAAATCTAGTGGAAGATTTACTTACTGTGCACAGCTGGCCAGTATGCAGGGATAGAAATTTAGGTAGAATATACTGGGGATTGAACCATTTTGGTTAACATATATTTGGGAAAGAAATCATCTCCACAGGATTCAGTTGTGGGAACACCTTTAAAGACACCTTTACTCATTGCTACAGCTATGAATTTTGTCCCATTTATTCTGATTTTTCTTTATACCTACTTGTCTGTCTTTAAAACAAAGCAAGTATATGGACTGTTTGTAGTATTTTCTGCCTGCTTTCAGTCCTGGTCGATGTCTTTTAGGTGCTATGAAAATGATGATTTTTGCCCCTACATTTTAGGGAATAAGAACCAATCCAAAGTTATCAAATGCTCAACACTTTTCTGACCTCTAAATGTTGCTTGAAACCAGAACTTTTTATGTCAACAAAGATCAACTTAGAAAACCTTCTAGTTATGAACATCAGAAATGGTAGAATTAAAAGTAACATTTCAAATTGATTCTATTCCATGAGACACATGAAAATGCTCCAATTCAGAATCAAACCAACTGCTGGAAAATGAGGAGTCTGATCTGTACATATCCAGGGCCAGCTTGGCTTTGGAACTGAAGAGAGCCTTGCTGCGTTCACAGCCCGTGCTGAGAAGTAAGCCTAAAGTCTATGCCAAATGATGCACAGATGCAGCTCGTGTGTCACTTTTGGGACCTGAGCTGGCATCTTCCTACAGAGCAGTGCAGGTCTGCACTAAACAAAGTGGGAACTGCACCAGATCTAGCCCAGAAATGGACAGGGGCAGACACCGTTTTTCCCCTTGGCATGTGAAGATTAATATTGCTTCTGCTTTCCCCCTGATTCTAGTTCTGAAAAAGTACTGAAAAGGCAAATTCAGCTCCACTAGAGCAACGAGAAGAATGCAGCAACAGAGTTAACACAGAAAAGTAATGAAAGATCAAACTGTTTCAAGTTTTGAATTTAACTGAAGCATATTTGAAACACATCAGGCATTTTTACCTAACCTACAATATCCCACAAACACAAGCAAAACCTTCCTGAAAGATTTCTAGATGACTGTACAGAAAAGCATACATCAAAGCAGCTGACCAGCAGGAAAAGAATAAGGTTAGACACATCTGAGTTTGTACCAAGAGACTAGAAACATCACATTTCATTTCAGACCTCCTTGTGTCAGTCAGCTCTGCCTTTCTTCTAATGCACATCCCCTCCCTTCCTCTGAGGGCTTTCCTCCTAACAGTCTGCATCAGCAGAATGGGTTTAAGTTTGCATCAAGCTGGTTTTTATAGTAGTAAGCACACTTGGAAGCTACAAAGACACGCTGTGTTTCTTGCTGCCCTGCTCATCAATCACAACAAACGATTTATAGCTGCTCTTAAAAAGAATTCATTAAATCAGTACAGGCTCTAAAGAGTGCAGGGCTTAAAAAGGAGAGAAGTGATTCTCTTCCAAGGTTTTGGCAAAAAACCTACTTGGGAGTCAGGTAAGCTGAAAAATTACTGCATCTCGATTTTTGAACATGTTCTAAATGACTTAGTGAGACTTTAGCCTTCAGTCTCAGCAAATCTGAAAGCCGCTGTGTAAAACAGGATGTGCTGAATTAACTTTGTATTAGAACACAAGCTCCATTATTGATGGGGCTACAAACCCTCAGGCTGACCCTTTCATTTGCTCCAAAATCCAATTCAGAAATCTAACTTGTGACATGGATGCAGTGGATAAAGTCAGTATTCCAAACTGGGACTATGTATTTTTAAAAGCCTGTTATTCCCTCTCCACCGTCCTAAGGAAAGCACACAGCAAAATGTTAACACTGCATTAAGATCCACTGCTAATACTGACACCAAAGTTACTGATTTGTTCTGTACATATTTAGGTAATCTACCTGGGGTTTTCATTAGACCTCAGACAATTTCACATGGATCCCCAGACCAGGTCTTCTGCAAGGTCTCACCTTCAATTACAACCAGCCAAAAGTAATAAAACCTGGAACATGAGATTGCTTTACTAAGATTTTCCCAGTAAGCAGCATGTTTTGTATTGCTGCAGAGAAGATGTAGTCAGCCAAATCTTTCACAGCCCTTGCCCATTATTTAGAGCTTGCTGCTGTACCAGCAGAGCTGCTAAAAATGTTTTTTCCTGGAAACTGGCTCACATTAGACTCCTTTCATATGTTTTGCTTTCTTCTCTATTAGGATTAACCCTCTCAAATATCCACCTCTCTCACATCCATCAGATGGCTTGCTTTCCACAGCCAGTGTTTTTCCTACCACTGATCTGGATTTCAGCTCAGCTCTTGCCAAGCATAGCTGCCATGCTCACATAATACTAATGCTGCTTCTGGAGAGAGCTCGAAATCCCTGCTGTTTTGCCTGTGTGCCTTCCATTCACCCATTGATCTATCTGCATATACACATGCTTCTGGCTTTACAGGGAAAACCGGTCTGAGCATGGACAGGAATAATGCCCATATAATCACTAAAAGGGTACTAGGAAGCTGAAGTTTTAGACTGGAGCCTACGGAGTATTAACAAGTGTGAAATTGGTACCTGCAGTCCAATCTGTTCAACAGAGACAGATGGGCAGCTCTAGCAGGAGATGCAGGATGCCTGTCAGGAGGTTCTTAAACAACTTAATCATGAAGACTTCAGCCAGCATTCACCTTTTCACAAGCCTTTCTTTGCAGAAATCATGAATGCAGTTGATAAAATGTGTCCTAGGTATTTCTTCTGTAGATAAAGCAGAGCAGAAGGTAGTTGAAGAAGCTCTGCCTCCTGCAGCAAAGAGGTGAAATTGCCTTGTATCAGAAGAAGATTTGTGTCATGAGGACAAATCCACTCAGGTGAAATTCTCAGGTCCAAAAGCTCAGGATATTTTGCAAGTCACAGCATCATCTTGCAGCAGTAAAACTAAATATATCTATGGCTACTGGAAAAAGCTGGGTGTATTGATGCAACATCATAAAGGTAAGTAACTCAGCAGTGCAAAGCCAGTTTTAAGTACAGAATTGGACCTTTGTCTAGATTGATATTCTTCACTTAAACAGTGACAATGAAATTTGTTTGGCTTCTCTGTAAGAGAAATGGGAGTTGGAGGAAAGACAGAGAAATTTTTGCCTAGTATTGGATGATGATCCATACGCCAAGGCCCTAACAGCCTTCCAAAACAGCTCAAGCAGCAGTTTTATTTATGAGGACCTTAATTTAGCAGTTACTGAGATTTATTTTATACCAGTATAATGTTGAGTATTGCTTTTACATAGCATCTCCATCTGATAGAGCTGAAGAATGTCTGACTGGCTGAAAACTAAAGACTGCTATCACAGGCCATAAGAATAAGGGACCTGCATATCTTTTGCTGTATTGGAAGTTGCAGCTCCGTGTCTAAGAAATAGACTGTCTTGACTGCAATTGTAAAGAGAAGGGCCTTAGAACTGGCAAGTAAGATTGGAAGGAAATTGATAATAATTAACTGAGTATTGAGCAAGACAAACTACTTGTGAAAGCAAGGCCTAGGAAGATGTACTGTCCATACATGGGCTCCACTGTTGGGCAAGAAAGGCAGCTTTACTTGGACTTTAAGGACTCTCCTCTAAGGAAAGTCATTGCAAGCTATGGTGTCTTTTGCCACAAAGCAAAAAATAATAATAAAAGCAGCCAACCCATCATTATTTTCTATCTTTCCTTGGCTAATTTAGGTCTGTGAGAGATCAAAGTAGTCTTTTTTTCCCCCATTACCATCTCAAATCCCAAGACAGCTAGAGAACTGAACAACTGGTGTAGGTGGTGGGTTCTGTACCAGTGGCTGCTTCACTATATAAACCAGGGTGAAATTATCTTGCAGTATTTCAGACTGTGACCTTTCAAGTAGACAGACCCAATGATTTTCAGTCAATGCTCCCTCTGCTTGATTTAGAAGCCCATTCAGAAGGTAAAAAGGCCAGTTCATTGTGGCAACTCATTATTCCACTGTGCTGCTACATCCTGATAGATAACAAATCTGACCTTTGCTACAGAAATAGGTTGTTAAGGGCAGTAAAAGTTCTTTTTGAGTGACACCACAAATGCTAACTCTCCTGTAGACAAAGATGGCATGGGGGCAGAATACACAATCAATGCTCCACCTTCAGGAGCTCGCTGAAAACCTGTATGAGAAAACTTGTCTTGCCTTCCTATTTCAACAGTCAGGACTGAGTCTTTGTGTCTCAGGCCTTAGTTTAGTGTCTTAGGAATATCTGTAAGTCCAGAAAAAAAACCCACCAGTATTTCACTTTTCTTTAATGAACTGAGGATCAGCTGAAACTAAAAATATACAGTGAGCTCCTTAGACCTAGAAATGCATTGGCCACATTCTTGGTGTCAACACTAGAACCGTGCTCTTGAAATCCTGGCTGCAGCTGATGATGGTGAGCACTTACAAGTGGAGCTGTAACTATACGGTAAAATGAGCCCTGAAAAAGATGTGCTAACAGGTTTATGAGGAATGCACTAATTATGCCAATGTTCAGTGGTTCCCTAGTCAGAAAATTAGTTCTAGGCATAAAAATCGATTCCTCATATTCTTCATCACATCAATTTTATTCTAATGTCATCTGACTTGGTATAATGAGATATTACTTGTTCTCGGGACTTTTTAGTCAGGCAAAAGCTTAGATAATCAATTTTTCATAGCTGAAACAATGATATTATCCAATATCTATTGGAGTTGAGAACATATAAGCTCACAAAAATTGTTTCTCTGTTCCTCATGCAGCTCTCTATTAAATCAAGGTACGTCTATTCCCTGCCTAACAAGTGAAAACAAACAAAATCCCTGCTGAACCCATCCCACACTCAGAGTGTGACCATAATATTCACTTGCAAACTGCAAGACTTAGTGTGCCAGAGATACGGCTTTCCAGCTGAAGGATGGACCATTTTCCACGGATGACAGCAACAATGCTGATGAGAGCTGCACACCTCTTACCTCATCGAGAGCTTCATTATTAATGAATGTTGACATCACCTCAGCAATTAGCTAAAACTCCAATATAGAGAAACTCATTGGCAAATTAAAGATTCTCCCTAAGAGAAAGGTTATTACTGCTTTTCCTCTTTAAGGCTTGCGTGATAACTTGAAAGTTTTTTTGGCTGCCATTCTACTTAAGCTTCAGATGATGTTTTCAATAACACACATCAATGGTCTCTTTATTTTTATTCCAGCTGAAGATCTGCTCAAATCGTGCTCTTCTTGAGCCACCATTTAGGTGATTTGTGAACAGCTGAAACACTGAAGTTTCATTTCTAGGCATCTGTGCCTTGAAGTTTAGCTGCTGTTTGGAACCTGCAGCGGCTAATGAAGGTGATGTTTGGATGGCAGGGCTGGCTTGGCGGGAAGCAAGAGGCATCAAAAAGCCAAAAGACTGAAACCCCACAATTATTTTAGAAACAGCATCCTCATCCTTAATGGCCACAAGACTCAGGCCCGTGATCCTCCTCCCTGACAGTGCCAGGCTGCTCATTAAACACCGGTAACTAGAGTACCCCTGTCCCCTTGTTATAGTATTGATAAGAAACTGTGACTTGTCTTCCTCCCAGAATAACTTATTTTGGGGCAGTTCCTCCTGCTAGGCTTTCTGTTGTAAACAGTTCCTTTTAATCTGCTGACTCGGATACTGCTTTAAGGGCAATCTCTTTGAAAAAGGGAAAGAAAAGAAGGTGAGAAGGAAGCTATTTTGTGGAATTTTTAGCATTTGAAAGTTCCCTTGCTCAGAACTCTAAGGTGCTGTGTGACTGGACCCATGGACTGCAAGGCAGAAGTTTCAGATGTGTATGAGTGATTTAGGGACTCACATCCTATCAATGCCCAATGGGCCTCTGTTCCTAACAGACACCTGAAAACCCAGCCTCATTGACTGCCCTGGTAAACTTGCCATAATGCCTCTATGGAGCATGAGGTACATAAATTCTGTAGGTTAATGCCTTAACACCCCTGGGGATCCACTAGAAATGACTTTTAAAAACTAATGCCATCAGCAAGAGGGTCCAGTAAGAAACTGCATATTTGCAGCGCTCCTTTCCACGTAATAAATCCCCTGCAATGAGACATTTTACTGCCTGCACTGACCTTACATTTTTTAATGAAGCTGCACAGCAGCTAAAACACAAGGGCTGATCCAGGGGCTCACCTGTGTCATCCAAGTGAGTTGCAGAATAACAGCAGCCATGAGCTTACAGCCTGGTTACAAGAGGAATGTCCTAAAGAATCCTTTCATAAGTTAACAGCAGGTTAACCAAGAGGGTGCATAATCCTTCGCTGTCTTCACCTAGTCAACACCAGAGGAAGAAATACATTAGAGCAAATGATCTGAGGGGCACAATATCAGAGTTGAAATATCTCATCTCTGGCTAGAACCATGCACCAAATCTAGCTTGGGTTGTGTCTTACCATTCAAAGTTATGCATGCTTTAAACCTCCTTTACTTACTTCAGAAAACTCATCAATGTTAGCTCTTCTATTTCACAAAATCTTTCTAAACACCTGTCAATCCATGTAGAAGCAAAAACACAAGCAAAATCTGGAAATACAGGAAACTGAATATGGAAAACTGCTATTTGATATATCATTTTATACTTTTCTCCTCTTGCATATTTTCATATTGTTTTATGCCAAGCTGGTAGCAGTGATTCATTATATGAAATTGGAACATTATAGATTCAATACGGAAGCATTTGTCTTAGTGACAGGAAAGGATCCTTTGCGTGGCTGAGCCACTTCCTTGCAACTGCAGGAAATCACATAAATGACATATAAGCTAGAAATACCCCTGGAAGCTTAACTCCATTCAGCTTTGTACCCCTGGATTTATAAACCCCTCACTATCCCACAGTAAAATGAAAGCTGTCAGAGGTAAAGAAAAACCTCAGAAGCTAATCTATGCTGTAAACCTGTGCTAGAAAACAGAGCTCAGAAGCACTGACAGGCTCTGGCACTGGCACAGACTTCGTGTGCCTCCATGAAACAAATATTCAAATCACAGACGTGAGGTGGGTAGAAAAGCCCAGACTTGAGAACAAAGCATTAATGTCCATGTGGGTTGCCTTCCCTTCAGGGTCATTTAGAACATGAAAATCCCTCACAGACTCTTTCATCCAGTGACCTTAGTGCCCTCCCTATTGTTGTATAATGCACTATGAACTTGAAAGTGTTGCTTCATGTCTCCATGAAGCACCTGGGGCTGCACACACATCATTTGACACACATGGGAGTGAAAAGAGCTTCCTAAAAGTAATGGATGACCACATCAGTTCCTATTCTCACAGCAGGCCAAGCCATAAGAACAACTTACTGAGCTACAAAGGGTTGTAATATAAACAGCATTATTGTAGCATTATTTGTATTCCTTTGATATTCTGTAAATGAATTTGCCATAGACATTTTACTGTATTTGATTAGAGTCTTATTAGTCCACATGAAAAAACCATGAAGTCTTTCAGAGATGGTATGAAAGAACAGGGATGGAATATCTAAAGGCAGGAGCTAGGCAGTACAAAATCTAACTGCTTTGAGGCTATACAACTAGCAAAGGAAAAGTGGGTTTATATTCACGACAGATACTGTTACAGTGACATAACTGAATTAGAAAATGCCCTGAGGTATCCTAAGATATGAGATGCTTTAAAACTATTTGGGATCAAGAACTGCTTAGTGTCTTTCAAGGAACAGCATATTGCCTGGCACAGATACATTGCTTACCTGAAAATGCCCTCTCAAGCTCTCACAGCATCAGCTGCACTTCACTGGTAGAGATGTCCTTATACCAAAGCTTAAATCCAACTGCATTTGTACAATAAGAATCCTTAGCAGGGTTCTTCTAATGCTTTGACAAGTGAAGAAAACCCAAAATTTGTGAAATGAACAGAGGGAAGCATGGACTTTGGTCTATCATCCCACCAACAACTGACCTGAATTCTGTATCCAACTGTTTCTATGCAGATACCTAAATGTAAAGAGAAGAATTATATCGTATAGGCATTTCAGAGCAGTCTATGTAAGGGCTAGTGCAATTAAAGTATTATTCATTCAATCCATTTGAAGGGCTCTGAAGCTTTGTCCAGCTTTTTGCAGAAGCAAACAGAAAACTTTTGGTTTGGCTGGAATCAGCCAATACAGGTGAGTATTTGTAATGCTGCCTCTTGAAACAGGACAGAGCAGAAGTCCCACTCTAAACCAATGAACACATGCACAGACCTTATTTGTAACATCAGTCAGTAATTTACCAGTGATGCCCCATTTGCTCATGGTAGTCTTTACATACTTTCTGATACTGAAAACCTCATGAAGAGTACACTGTGATTTTAGAACGTGCTATTTAACTACTCACACTCCGGTGGGTAAGTAGAATTTCTAGCTGGCCGGTATAAAGAACCAAAGTGTTACCTGGTTTGTCTGTGGACTTACTAGTGAGAAAGATGAGAAGAGACTCGTGAAATCTTGCTTTCCAGGCAGGTGCTCCAAACCCCCACCAGACGCTGCTTTTTCACTTCTGAGGCTGCCAGCCAAATGCATGCTTAGAAGTACTCATAAATATATCTGTACTGCAGTCTCTTGGGTTGTATCTCTCTCTTGCTAAAACTCTAAGAGGAAAAATGCACTTGGAAGTGTGATATGATTATGAAACCTGCATGTCTGATTAGAGGTGCAATTACATTGCATTTTGATATCTGTCAACAGCAAATACGTTCTTGTAGAGCACCTCATAACATATGCACTCTCAACTCTACACCTCATGAATTTCTCAACTGCCATTTGAAGGTGGTAACGGAAATACATGTTTTAATTTTTAATGCTTTCAGTGCCTGTTCTTACAGCCATTATATATTTTGGGAATGAGCAGCTGAATCCATCATCCTGTCTCCAATTGAGTCTCTGGGGGCATTTTACCTGAACCTGCTTTTTCTCCCTCCTACACAGACCTGCTATATTTTCATTTTTTACAACCAGGCTGTATATTAACAATAAGGACATAAACTCATGAAAACATGAACTCATTGGGGTGAAAATATACCAAGAGAGAGCATCCAACTCCCCCGTGTATTTTGACATTCCATTTAGCAAATTGCGTTACCATTTTAAGAGCGAGTAATCTCAGCTCTGAACAACTGCAAGGGAAATAGAAGGCATGTGAAGAAGAAAAATACAAAGGCAGAGACACGGATGAAGTCTGTTTTAAACAATGTCAGAACCAAGAGTCAAAGTGCAGTCTCACACAAAAGACCTGGACACTGAAATGCTAAGGGGCAAATATTGCTGTGCCTGGTTGATAACAACAGTAAGTGCTGCTCGTGTTTCTCTCAATCACTAAAATACACTTACAGCTTGCACATGTTGACATTACTCTGCATCTGCCACTGTTCATCCTGTTTCCTACTCCTCTCAGATTGGACCAGTGACTTGGCACCCTTACCCCAACTCTGTCAGCCTTATACTTACATGATCAGCAGAAACTCAAGGCTGTAAAGGGCCAGTGGTCACAAAACCTGTCTCACGTTGCACTGAAATCAATGGCAGAGAAAGCACTACTTGAGGTGCTCTGAAGTACATGTGTTTCTCTAATGCTGCCAAATGCAAGAAAAATGTGGGTTCTTTTTTTGCACAGCAATTTGGTGGAGTGTGTACCTGGAGCAAAAGGTGTCACAGGTCTACACAGCCTAAAAGTTTAATGTCCCATCAGAAACTCCGTCCCATGCTGAACCTGTGTGAGGTGGTACCAGCAACAAACAGCAAGGAGCTTCTGAATTCATCCCAAAAGCATGCAATCATAACCAAGCTTTTAGGAATGGTTTTGCCTTCAGGGAAAGGCAAAAGAGGCAGCTTTGGGCAGGGTGAAAGCAGAGAAACTCAAGGCCATGGAACACTGTAGAGCAGGGGAAAGCAAATGGTGTGAGGCTGCTTTGGCTGCGAAACTTGCTCATGCTTAAAGATGCTGTCATATATAAAAAATACAAACCAAAACAGATCAACACCACCATGTATCAGAGATCTGCTAAGGAACCATGGCTAGGAAGGACTGGGTGTATGGATGAAGGCACAGCACACTAGCTTCTGTGCACAGGCAGTTCAATAGCACCCATTCATCTGCATGAGCTCATGTGCACACACAAGACACTATGGGGTCTATCCACTCTGGAGCAGCACTGCCTCAATGCACCTCTGTTTGCTTCCAGAAGCATATGGATTGCACAGGAATCAGGGCTTTTGCAACCATTGGTTTAGAAATGCCTGAAGAAATGTAAAACTGAAACCAAGGGGCTACTAACTGGAAGGTTTGAGGTTTTTTAATGAAGAAATAAAACAGGAGAAACTGATGGAGGTTTTGATGTTACCTCTCAAATCCCATGTTAGCATTAGCACTAAACAGATGTCCCATATTCCAAAGAAATGGCAGGTTTGGCACCTCTTCACGGTTAGCAAATTTAATTATGGCTTCAAATGCAATAATGGAGCAACCTTGCTTGGATATAATTGGATCTGCAATTGGCACCAGCTTTCCTTCCCTCACTGTGCCATATGGGGAACTGCAGAACAAGGTGCTACATATGTTCCTGCTGAATTATACTGGGTCAGATTGGGGTCAAGTGAAAGTATTACACAAAGGAAGGCAGGGACAACCACAAATGAAAAGTGGGGATAAACTCAGTGTTTTCCTGCAATTCCAGTTTCTCTGACCAAGTTACGTGGGATCCAACTGGATGTGAGCTCCAATAAAGCAGCTACTTTAATTAGGAGAACTCCCAGGCTGCCTGAAATAATACCATGTTCTGGGCAGACGATCAGGAAAGACAGAAGAGCTGGCATTGTCTGAATACAAGACAGCCCTGAGATAGGCATGAAAAAAGGAAAATAACCCTTCAAATATACCACAAATACTGGGGATGGGGAGCAGGGAAAAGACTTTTCTCCTTTTCCCCCTTCCCAGAATCAATGACATTTCAGATTTCCAACAGGGGTTGGAAAACCCCCTTCTTGTCAATTCTCATTACATGGATGCAACAGCACAGCAAGTAACAGGAGTAAAAGAAAAATAAGGCCTATCTTGTTAATTACATAAAATACCCACCTTAGGCAGGCCAGGTAGCAATATCTATGAGTACAACTGCCTGACACTTTCATTACAAGGCCCTGTTCTCTGTTATTAGTAACTTTGCCAGACTTAAACCATTTGGGCTGAAATTCTTCTTGCTCACTTTCTGTCTTAGGCTGAGGTTACCTGCAATGTTTCTGTGTGTGTGCATTTATACTTAAATTGGAATGGCTGATTCTGTCCTGGAGTAAGAAAAAACAACCTATAAAATAATTGCTTCAACAACTTCATAGCCCCAGAAAGGATAAATAGCATTAAAATAATTACTGTGACATCCTTCCTGCCAGAAGAGGAGGAAAACTTGCTATGTGCAGGGCAGATGCTACTGAAAACATTCTCTGATGCTAATGCAAACCTGCTTATCTCCAGCCAGTGTCAGCAATATACATGGGTAATGTTCTAACCCCACTTCATTTTAATTTACTAATATTCTGACACACAATCATTTTCTTTCTCCTGTTGAAATTAAAGTGACTTTTCCATTAAATTGATGGAGCCTTAAAGCCACTTGTTTGTATGTTTCTATACAACTGTGTCCTCCATGACATCTCTTAAGGCACCATGAATTACAACCCACTTATGCTATTTACTATTTGAAAGCCTAGTTTTTAGCCCTGACACTGATGAGAAGTTATTATTTTTTCTTTTTCAGTATTTTTTGCTTAATAATTTGAAATTATAATTATTACAGGTTTAGAAGAAAACATGAAATTACCCCTGGTAACACCGAGACCAGAATCAACACAGGAGTCAAGCCACGCTAAACCACATGACAGTTATCTTCACGAGTGGGCCAGCTGACTCTGCAATTAACTAATGTTGCCATGGTATCGGGTAGGACTAAGGAACAGAACAGCAACACTGAGTTTGGAACGTGCAACTGGAAGACAGTTGCGGGTGAATGCTGCACTGGGATTTGGTCTATCAGTAAACAACAGGTTTATAACTATGAATAACAATTTGCAACACCTGAAGGTTAAGCAAAAGGCTGCACATTACAGGGAAGAATAAGAAGTAAGAGAGCTGCCACTTTGTAGGGCAGCATCTATCCAGGGCTACACAGCATGTCGTGGGAGAGCCAAGGCACTGCAACCCTTAACTCCCTGCCCATCTAGATTTCTATGTTATTCTAAGGGAAGTGGGAACCTCCCTGTCACTTGGGGCCATTCCGTGCCTCATCCTGGGCTGCTTTCACTTGGACTCACTCACTGAAGTCAAGCAGACTGAAAAAGAAGACTCCAGCAATGTCATCAGCTGCTGCAGCCCCCACCACCTATTTGTTTCGACAAAGGAAGCAAACACCATTAGCCCCTGGAAGGAGGCATGGGGGATGAAGTGTCCTTTCAGGGGTGCAGAGAGGCTGAAGGAGCATGAGGAAGAGGAGTCAGACGCCACAAGTCCCTTTCTCTTATTTATGGAGAGCCTACCAGCCCCTTTCCTGTTTCTGTAATGCCAAGGATTCTCCACTATTGCTTTTGCTGGTGCCATTGGTGTGGGGGACACCGATGCCAACACCATCAGGCCACCACTGAACAAGTAAGGCCAGACAGAGAGCAGACAGCAAAATAATGATCCTCCATTCCTTCCCCATTGCTCAGTGCCTGGGGTGTCTTTCCACCAACAGCCCCTGTGAACTGAGGAGCATAACCAGCCGGCAGCTCTTGTTACCTATTTTAAAGACCCTTCTTTGAGCATTTTAGACAGCAGCTGGCTGGAAAATGACCAGAGAAAGGAATGAGTTTTTATATCACCAGGGACCAGTCTTGGATTGATGCCACTTCTTTCCCTTCCCTGGTTTGTATCTTCAACAAAAGGAATGGGAGAAATCCAAACAGGAAATATTGTTGCTTCACCTC